ATATTTTATACAAATAAGGGAATCCTAAACTAAGAAATTGATGCAGTTTTAAATATTAATAATACTGTGATCATCAAAACTTGGAGAAGAAGAAATATCAAGTTAAATATTATTATTTAATTTAAATGTGCAATTTTGTATTGTTATTTAATCAACTGATTTTTTTAAAATAACTGCTGATTTTTGTTATGAAGAAATATTTAAATATTAAGAATTAAATATTTAAATAACCTAACTATCAGTACTGTAAATAGTTGTAGAATAATTTTTCAATTAAATATTAATAAATTAGGAATTATTCATCTAAAACAATTATTAAGAATTAATATTCATAATATTACTAGAGAACGTTAAATTTTTAGCCTTTAAATGAAGTATATTTGAATATTGGTTATTTAAATTGATAGCTGGTTCATTTATGTTTGATATTGAGTTAGTTATTATTATTTTATTTGCTTAAAGATTATTGCTATTTAAGATTGCGCTTTATTCGACCTAATATTAAACTAGACTAAGCACTCCAATATTGTTGCAAAAAGAAATTTATAAATTTGAAAGTATAAAATTTTTTATTCCTCCAAAGCTCAACAAATATTTTTAAAATTATTTAGATAAAGAAGATTCTAAATTTTTTTATTCAATTAAATGTTCATTTACATTTATAAAGGTTAATTTTATTAAAAATAGTTGATCTACTAATTATATTTGCATAAAGTGTGAGCTATTCATTTTTTATACTGTCATATTTGTTATACTAATAGTTTATCCATATGTTATCAGAATTACAGGTATCTATAATTGTATTTCATTGAAAAAACAATTTGTTATTTACATAGAATATAAAAATTAAAAGCTTATCATCATGCCAGTGAAATTTATAAAGCCCAAATTTTATGAGTTATTAAAAGTTATGTTGCTAAATAAAACTTGTTAAACTTACTAAAAATTGAACAGGTATGGATTTATTTAACTTTGTTGGTTAATATTAGCATTTAATTAATTATTAATAACTTAAATCTGATTAGAAAAAACATTCACAGACTAATTGGCAAATATAAATCCTTGTTAAAACTTATTTTCTGTAATAATTATATTCTCCATTTTAAGATTAGTTAAATTGTTAACTTGAATTATATTTTGGGTAAAATTACATTTACTGATTGTAAGATTTCTTATCAATAAATTTTTGATTCCTTCAAATGAAAGAAAAGAAGACTATGACTATAAAGTTATGTTTTTAAATTCCATATTATTTATGATAATATTGCTGATATTTTAAAAGAAGATTTAAGTATTAATTCTTTGGTCTCTAAATGTAATCTCATTTATAATAAGATATTCATAAGAATTCATGTAAATAGTTCCACCTTACTTGCTAAATTAGATAGTAATATTAGAAAGCTAAAACTTTTATAATTATTTAAACGAATTAAAATTAAGCCAATTATTATCAGTCAAGTTAAAATTGAGAATCATGCTTCCTATTTTTAAATTCTTAAATTACTCAGATATGAATTAAGTTGATGAAATTTATAATTAATATTTTTCCATTGATATTTATGCCTTTTTC